GAGGGAAAATTAGCCATGATGATCCATGCTTTCTGGGTTGCCCACGTGTTGTGCAATTATGATACATTCAATGTCCACCCCATTAGGGATAGCAAACATGTTATTTCATCAATTAATATTTAGACTGCCATATGTTGTTCTGTAAACAAAAAACCAAATGGTTGAGTGTTAGAAAAACAAATGAAAGTGTGAATTGAGCTTAGATCATGGCCAAACAGATACCACTGCACATATATGGAATACAATACTTACCACAAAGAAAAGCATCTGCAAAAACTTTGATCCCGAGTGTCCAAATTGAATATGGTTCATGGCCCAACAGTAGAAGCCTTTTTTCTTTGTATATGGAGAGCCTAGAAAAGAATGATTCTCACCACAGCAAGACACACCTTAGAGCTCAAGCTGTACCTAGAAGGACACAGCTTGGGAACAAATAGGCCTTGCTAAGTGGTTAATGAGATGTTTTGTCATCACAAAATTCTGGTCTTTGTCACACAGAAAAATTATGGACAACCCTACAAAGGTGAGTAAAAGCAAGGCAACCTACTCACATTGTTCAGTTTCAGTTGCTCTTTCAGGGGAAATTGGCCATAATAGTAGGAAGCTTGTGGAAAAACATTATTTTTGACAGATAAAATTTAAAGGGCTATTCTATCAAATACTGTACTGAGGACATGGTTTAATCTTCTAAAGTTGACTAAAGAATAAAATGACACTCTGATATTTAGAAAATCGACAGTTGAGGTAACTGTGATTTAACAAATTAACATTGACATTAACATTTTCAACACTTCCAAATTTTAACACAAGCAGAAGTATAACATAAAAAGACTATTTGCCTAAAAATTATCAATGATTTGTTGTCATTTAACCATCAAGACACACTACTTTATCTTAGACTAGCACATCCACAATTATTTTTTCTTGCAAGATTCAACATAATGTCACAGGGAGTTTTTTCTTGTAGTCATTGTCACAAAGTTAATTTACCCTTTGCACAGAATGCCATGTTTTAAATAAAGTACTGTCCTTGAATTCTTTAACTTTACTTTTTAATCAAATAGATTATAAAATTATTTCAAGTAAACATTGTGAGAGATAATAATTAGCCCCATATATACTATAAACTGTGGGTATATGAGACAAGACTAAGTAATTATAGGTTTTAAGGGTTCCTAGGTGTAGACAACCTTTTCGGTCATCAGGATCACTGAGTTTATAAGCAGCCCTTGTACTATAAACTGACAGACACATTTACACAATTGTGCTTAGAGGTATGGAGGAGAAAACCACAAAAATCTACAAGGAATTGATGTTGACAGAAACCGAATGACCTTTGCTGCAGAACTAAATGCCCTCTAAAGGAAATTAATGGGAGCCCATTAAAAAAGAAATCTCTCTCTCTCCCTTTCTTTCCCTCTCTCTACATATATATACAGTATATATATATATATATATATATATATATATATATATATATATATATATATATATATATATATATATATATATATATATATATATACACATACATACAGTATATATATCGTCTATTTAATTTCATTGTTTTTAGTAGTGTATATTTGGCATTTAAAGGATAATATTCATAAAATCTTCATAACACTCTTAGGGCCACATCAAACAATAATTACATCAAGGAGGGATTCTGCAATATTGTATCTAACATGAATGCTCTGCTGGAGCATATCTCCCTCTTACCTTTACACTGTGCAGCACGGCAGCAAATCCTAAGAACTGTCATGTGGAACTTTTGTGCCTTGGGAATAACATACATTTTTCACCTCGCAATGGTACAGGCATCAATACACTAAATACACGTGACATTCAAAACAAGCAGTTGATAGAGTATGATAAGCTATCAAGGCTTACTGCAGGAAAAGAAACACTGCAGATGAAGCGATGCACAATTGCCTACACTCTGCGCCATGAGCATTATGGTAAAAAAAAAAATAATAACCTGCAAAATGATTTAATTAATCGTGCAAAGGACCCGCAGTGAAAGACTTTGGGTTCCACTGACTGCTGCTCTCACTATTTGATCGTTATAGAGGCGTAAATACTTCAGGGATGCATGTTTTGCTTTAGTAATTTATGATTGTTTATTTGAATGCAACCTGCATTTGACATTGGATGTTTATTCTTACTTGACACTATTTGATATCAGCAGTTTTAGAGATGCCAATAACGATTTATTTTCTTAAGACTGATCTTACAACAAATTTTTTCATTAGTCGACTAATCTTAACCACTATTTTAAAAAAAACACTGCTTGGGGTTGGCAGAGTAGCTGCAGGATGGTGACACCAGGGTAATGTTTTGGTAAACTACGTTAACCTACAACTACAATTCTTGTACCTAAATAAAAAAAATTCTCCATGTGATTTGCAGTGATCGGTGTCAGCTGTTATTGGCTCACAGCGTGATCGGTAATGGGATATGCAGCAAAAGTTCTGATCAGAGCATCTTTAACCTGAATCAGATGTAAATTGCATAATGTAATATAAATTCATGCACAAAATGACAAATTCTGTTTTGCTATTAACAACCGTGGCTCTGCGATCTTTCAGGAGGAGTGAATGCTACTTGTTAAGACTTTGCTGGGTTCCTTTGAGAGGAAACTTTTTGACTATTTTGTCCGGATGATACAATTACATTGACTTTGTAAAGTGCCCTGAGATGACATGAGGTGAGTTGGTGCTATATAAAAGCGAATCGAAGTTTGGATATATCCACCATGACTGATTTTACTCCAAAGACTTACGGCAGAAAACCATCAGAAGTAATGCAAAACAGCTAGTCATCACTTTAATCTTTGTTTAGAAGTATAAATAATTTTAAACATACCATTCTAATAAAATGAAACTATAAAATAAAATAATTCTTATACATGTATTTATTTTTAAATGATAGCAATTTCCTTAATGTACTTCTTGAATTGAAATCTCATTGAATCTGACAGATCAGAATAATTTTATACGGAACCTTATTCAATGTTAATTTGATTACACTTTAAATCTGTTTTAAATGATCCATAACCTGACTCCGCCTTCTGTTGAAGTAATTTTGGGAGAGGGCGAAAATACTGGTTAGCTGATTGGACTACCAGTATGTTGGTGAAAGACGGGCCAAATAAACCAATCAGATCAACAAAGCATATGACGTAACAGAGCGACGACAAAGAGCAGCCAATTGATAGATCAAACTCTTGCCGAAACCAGTCGGGAGAAGAGCAAATACATCATTTCCTCTGAGAAAAGCCTCCAGAGCAGTGTTTTGCTCTTCTTTCAGTGAAGAAATACTCTGTAATTCCAATAAAACTAGCTCGATAGCCACGCTAACTCTAGTTTCATCGGCTGAAGCCGCCATGTTCTTTAGACTGAACTGTCGCGCTTCTCGTTGTGTCACACCTCAACCCGCCTCAAAGCCAACGCTGATTGGATGTTCGTTTGGTGAACGGCTCCAGATTTTCTTTAACGGAGAGTCTCCAGACTGATCTGCGAGTGAAACCTTGAAAGCTTGCTAGATCAGGATGGTCTCACGAGGCTACATGATCCATTCAGCAACAAAGAAATAGATGAAAAAGCAAAAAAGCTGTGAAGGCGAGGCATGTTTTTGGGTTCAGCAGATGCAGACGCAACAATCATAGAACACAAAGCACTTGTTATTTTTGTTAGGCATCTGGAAAGGAGAACAGAGCTATTTACTTTCTGAGAAACCAAAAAAGGTTTTTATCAAGTTTAAGGAGATGTGTGATGTTTTCAAACAATACTTCATGATACCATGGGGTGAATTTTCAGTTTTGAGGCAAACTTTTACTGGATTCTCCGTCTCTGCAGGCCCCGGATGTGGTGATACAGATTCTGGCCGGAATAACTAATTTGGCATTACAGTACATCAGAATCACATATTTATAGCAGTCATTCTATATCACGTATGCCTAGCATGTAGCTAGCAGTTTAATAAAAAGATAATGTTTAGGGCTAATGTGGTAGCCAATGCCTTGTGTGATTTACCATTCATATGACTGGAATGCATCCCATTGCGAAAAGACAAGTCTCTTTTCTTAATACTCTTTTCTTTATACAAAATGTTTGTGTTTGCCCCATTTTCAAGCCACGGTCAATATTTTATATTTTCCAGTCACAGTTTATTAAAATGATGTCATGATGATTTTCCGTCCACTTGGGAGCTATGTTGTCATGACAACACACTACCATGACACTAATGCAAAGCCTGCATGAGGCGCACTGGACAATGTAGTTAATTTTTATTTTTTTTTCACTATTATATTTCTGCTTCTTTAATAGGCGGTATATCAAGTAAGATTTCTATGTGAAATATTTATTACAATATCAAGCTTTTACAAGCACCAAACTCAAAATTCAAGCATTTTTCAAACCTTAAACACGTAACAGGCACCCATACAAACCCTATGAACAGCAGTTTGACTGCACTGTTGTGGGTCTGACAGGAACAGAGACATGATGACAAAGTAAAACACATTTGCTCTGAGGAAGATACAAAGTAGAATCTGTTGACATTAAGGTAAACCAGCAAGGTTTGCAATGTTTGGAAACACAGTGCATTCACAGCAACCTGGGACACATTATATACATGATCGTTAAAACATTTCAATAAAAATTGTACTTTACCTCTGAGAAGAGCTTAGGACAGATGAGATATATTACTGATCCCCTTTTTGTTGGGATCTGGAGGTCTGTCCACCTTTCTCCACCAGAGGGCATTCTAGGTCTCCTGGAGCTGGAGCTGATTTCACCACCTGCGGCTCGTTTGCTCATCAGGAGACCAGTACATATGGAGGCGGAGAGCTACACTCCGACGCCAGAGTGTTTTCCCAGTTATAGTTAGCAAGCCTGAGCCAACCTGCCTGTCTGAATCTCTGACTTTCAGAAAACCTGACCCTGAACCTAATCTGTTTTTGTCCTCTCTGCTTCCCAGGTTTTACCTGCCTGAAACCTGAAAATCTGGAAGAGTTTCTCTGTTGGAAATCTGTCAGTCTGATCTCTGAAGAACTCTGGAGAATCAAACCTGCCAAAGACCTGCCTGCCCGCTCTCAGAAGAATCTGTAAGAGAAACTCAATCTGTCCCTGTAAACTCTCTAGCCAAGCTCTGCCTCCGCCAGGCCCTCTGCCTGCAAACAGCCTCTGGACCCTCCTGGTTCCCCCTCTCTGCTGCTCTGCTCAAACTTAAGATCAGGTACAAACCTGCACTCACTCATCTTGCAAATTACCTGGACTTCAGCTAACCACTCTCTCAAACCTCTCTGCAGTAAACCCAGTCGTGACCAATCCTGGATCTGATAACCCCCTGGATCTGTACATTTATTATTGTGCCTTGTTCAATAAACTGTTGAACTTTTTCCCTGAGTCCATGTGTTCTGCATGTGGGTTAGATACCTTAAACCTATCATGACACTTTTTAGCTCTAAACAACAGAGATATAGCTTAGACTATCTAAGGGACACCGTGCCACTCGCTTCTGATCTAACAATCTGAAACACGGTTTACATTCGATAAACATGGTGCAGTACTGGAAGAGGGATTTCAACAGATTAAAGAGCAAGATAATAAAGAATACTGATTATGTTCTGGCTCCCGTTCATGTTGCTGTCAATTATTTACTTGCCTTATCTCGTCGCACTGTTGACATTATTAACGCTCACCCAGAGTGATGCCATCGTGGGGGACAGTGGCCACGCAGCTTGCCAGCAGGGGGCCAGACTTTTCTGTTAAATTGGAAAAGAGCCAAAAGCTGATCACTAGCGGGAAACCCAGTTTGAAAAACCCAGGTTTTCACTGGGAAAGAGTTTATATTTTGTATATATCAACATTAGTTAACTGTTCTGAGAAAATAAATATTATAAAATAAGGATCTACGTGATTAGATAATATTTAAATATATAGTGATAACAACATTGTCAATAAATTTATCTAAAATCCTTTTGGTTTATTATTATAATGGTATTTTTCTCCATTGAAAGAGAAATTACTCTTCAGGTATTTTTACTTACGGTAATTTCACTAATTGTATAAAAAAAAATATTTTCACAACATCAGCTTTTACTTCACAAATATGTTTTCGTAGCTTTGACAAAAATAAATTGATAGGCAGTTGTTTTAGTCCAAGACTTAAAATTGACTGTAAATGTCCCATTTCTCATACCACAAGTAATGGTACCAAAACTACTTGCATCTTGAAATTTTTATTCTAGAAATATGCCTTCCCTATTTTACGTGAACTTAAAGTAAGCCGATCAGGAGAGCATGTTACTTGCTATAATGTCTGCTTCAGCACTTACTGGCACTCTGAACTAAGATGTAATTGATTACTGTTATCAGTGGACAGGTAGTTACTGTAACACAGATAATGGTAGCAATAATACACTGCCCTGCAAGACGCTGTTGCTGATGGAAATGGGCAGATAGGGAGAGAAATGAAAAGACAGGGAGAGATGGTGGATAATAGTCTAACAGTTATTGGAGGATAAAAGACAGAGAAAGATATTAGAAATGAAGAGCTTTTATTCATAAAATTCATGGGTAACAATCACTTTCAATAGAGATTTGGTCTTTTCTCACATGGTTTAAGTCAATTCTAAAGTCAATATTTTCATCTTTTGCACCATGGACCTTAAAATTGTGACTGACCCATCTTACTCATTTTAGACTCATTTATCTTTTACTTGTGGCAAGCAAAATTAGTCAGCTCCAATTAGAAAATTTTAATTAAGCTTAGCCCGTAAACCTCCCCACCCCAACCCTCAAAAAAGTGCAACGAAAATAAATCACACTAAATAGAAATCAAACTTCAAATTTAATGATCTTTTTTTTATAAGTGAATGTGAAGGAATTAATATGTGCGATAACTCTATAAGGATTTCTAATTATCTACAGTTCCAAAGAAATGTAAATAAAACTAATCTTCTTTTCACGTCAAACTAAGTGCTGTATTCAACAGGGAAAGAAAGATGTAAACTTGTATTTAGAGATAAAACATTTATGGATAGTGTTCTTCAAAGCTTTTGCCTTTTTTAGGGAAGCCGGTGGTGTCATGATCTTATCACTAACGACTGGATTATTGGTCTATTCCTTCCACCTGCCTACTTGTGCCAAGTTTTCATTTTCACTCATCACATCCACCTGTTCCATTTCCTATTTAAACTGCTTGTTTCCAGCCACCAATGCCAGATTATTTGAGGCGTAGTTGAGAGTGTGTTTCTGATTACAGTACCTGGTCCTGACTAGTTTCTGCTCCCGGACTCCTGATTTTGTCTGCCCCTGTTCTGAACTGTTTTGCCTGACCTGTCTTTGGACTGCTATTTGGATTCTGCCTGATAATGACCTTGGATCAGTCTCCCGACGCCAGCTTGGATTTTCTCTTCGGTACCTCTATGGATCTCTGATCCTCTGGTCTGGACATCTGCTTCCACATCATCACCGACTTTGGATTTTCCATCTGGATACTTCTGCTCCTCCTCGTCTGCTGGCTTCTGGTGATCAGACTGCTCTGCCTCAACTCGTGGAACTATCTGGGGGGCTACCGCTGCATGCTGTGGAGAAAAATTGTCTGGCTGAATTCCACTGTTTCCTCTGGGCTCAGACTGAAATTTAAAACCAGGTTAATGAGTCACATGTTTGCTATCGTTTCCTGTCCGAGTTTCATGATCAGTAACCTGAGTTTCTACCTCTACAGAGATTTCAGTAATTCGCTCCCAGCTGACGAGCCACAGATCACTAAGCAGTTAATAAAACGCTTTTTTAAAAATCATTTCTGTTCTGTCTGCCTGAATTCGGAATCATGACAGGTGAGGGGTAGGGGATAAAAAGTTGTCATGCTGAAAGAATTAATATGCCAAAAAAAAAGTTAAATATAAAAGTAAATACAGTGTAAGTAAAACAGTTTGAAACTCTCAGCTGTCCAAATCGCGTTCTGATAGAGATTGTCCAACTGCCTGACAAGAAAAGTCTGAATTTGCTTCTTATGATCCAGCGTATTTCTACAATAGTAACAAAATATGAAAGACACCCCCCCCCCCCAAAAAAACCCTGATTTTAGCCACTTCCATATATGCTCCTGCTACTCGTCCACACAGACTTGTCTGCAGCGCTCACTGACAGCTTTTTCAAAGGCTCTTGTTAATAGTTGTGCTCTATTTTCCTTCCTACTTTGCCCTTTAAGCATGAGTCTTCCTGTTTTGTTTTTTTTCAACAGAGCTTTATTGAAGATCTCTAGAAATCTACAAAAATAAAAAAAATAAAAAGGATGAGCCGGACAGGGAGCCAGTAACAGTGCAGTAGATTTGGTCAATTTTAAATTAGGAGGAGAGGCTGTTTGGATGTCTTAACGAATCTTACATTCAGTAGGAAATACTGCATGATACATTTAGCAAAAGATGATGAAGCAGACACAGAACATAGTAATGTTAAAGCCAGCCTGGACCATAGCCACACCGTCATCAAGCTCATTCAGTCCTCCTGCACCATCTTATTGTACTCATGCTTCTCATCTGTTCTCCCTCTTATTCATGTACAGTTTCTCACTTTTTGTCCCAAGATTATTCTGTTGCTTTTTATGCATTGCCTGCTCATATTTGCTATGACTTAATACCTAGTTTGCACCATGTCTTCTCTGTATGTGTTTTTTTTTCCTGATTCTTTATTCATTTTCTTTTCTCACCATTCTGCTTCTGTCTTCCTTTGAGTCCAACTCACAAACCACTACCCAACAATGCCAGAGACTGGTGCCGTTTCAAAGAAAATTCTGATGATTAGGAGTTAGAGATGATTTCCATATACTGAAATATGAATCACTGATACAATATTTATTTAAGTTGTTTAGTTTTTGTGGTGGTGTGAAACAAGGATTAAGTAATGTAGGGAATTTAATGGATGGTAATCATACAACAAAGCAATTTGGCAGCATACATCTGTAGAAAGGTAATACATAACAGTATTATATTCAATGCTAGCACAGTAACATTGGTGTATGAAATTACACAGAAAAAAATGAAAACAAAGCTGTGAACAGACTCTCATTTACATGTCTTTTTAAAAATATGACTCTACCACAGTATGTCATAGGCCAGACAGTTTAGGGGATGATAACATATGTAGTAGTACAAGACTACTCTATTCATCAAGTATTGACTTTCAGCTTGTCACCTGCTACAAAGCTCAGCTTCTTAACCATAACTTTATGCTATCATTATGGAGCTTGGCCAAAATGACTGAAATTGATGGGGCATCGAATTAATAAATAAGGGCTGTAAACTTTCATTGAACCCATTATTATTGAGAGAAGAAAAATTTAATATTTGCTTTGTGATGCATGCAAATTATCTGTGCACAGAAATTTACACTGTCACCAATTTGAAATCCTTTTGGTATTCACTGAGGGAAACAAGAAGATATCCATATGTCCACAAGCTACAGAGTCAAACAAAGCCAGACAGAAGCTTATGCATTAAAGATAAAGCTAAATATAACTGTGCAGTCTGTGTCACTTGTCCTACAAAGCTCTCTTCGCTGAAATATAGATTTGTATTTCCAGTACTAAATAATATAAGGAAAAAGCCAATAATTCAAAGACTCAGACAGCACAATCTTTTAAAAAAAGGTTATGGGGGTATAACTTAGTTGTGACTTAAAGTTAGAGATATGTGGTCTCAGACAAACTGATTATATAAGCAAAGACTGTTAGAAATACATAAACAAAGGATCTTGACATGCATGCCAACATATGCTTAGCTCCCTTATTGTCAACCATGAAATAACTACATGGCCCAATGTCTTTTTGTTGTATTTGGTGCTTAAATATGTTATACTGGGATGCTTTTAAGGCCAACCAGTCCTTGAATAACCAGATCAGGAGGTCTGTTCTTATTAACAGTAAAAAAAGACAGGCTTATTTCCATTGCATTTTGGAAGCAAGCTCCAAGGATGCCCCTTATTAATGATCCTGTTTTTGGTGTTCATTGGCAGGGCCTCAAGGCAAATTTTTTAGAACCTCATTTCAATTTTTTCACATTGAGAACATAGTTAATGCACAGATAATATAGCCCTGTTGGCGTATTTAAAGCTACAGTGTGTAATTTTCAGCGACATCTAACATCCAGACTGCAGACTGCAGCAACATGAACATCTCCCCCCCACCGCTTCTCCCCCCAACAGTACGGCGAGCGTTACGGGACAAAATGTCTTCCACGACATCCGCATCACCTACCTTCTCAAGTGATGAGGTTTGTTTACATAGATAATTTTACAGATAGTATTTCATTAGTCTGTGTAGGGTATAGATTTCATGTAGACTTAAGATAATAAATATACCCGTTATTTTTTCTACATCGTTGTGACGTTTTGG